GTTACTAATGGCGCACCGCACGGACGACACGGTCCCAAGCGACAAGGCACTGCGCTCCCGAAGCCTTGTCCGCTCCAGACCACAGGAAGGAGCGCCGCAGGGCGTTGATTGCCCGGAGAACGAAGGGGGGGGGGACCTCCATAGCCGCCATGGCGTATGTGGGGAGCGCGTCCAGTACAACATTGAGCAGCACTAGACGCCCCCCAAAGGACAGCAGCTGAGCACACCGGCCAGAGAGGTAGCGCTCAGCCTTGGCGATGATGAGCGGGAGGAAGTCATCCATGATGAGCTTGCGGTTGGAGAGCGGGAGGCCGAGGTAGATTTGGGGGAAACTCCCCATGGGGAACCCCAAGACTTGCACCATCTCATGAAGATCGCTCTCCAGGACGTGGATGGGCGCGACGGTGCTCTTGTGAAAGTTGATGACGAGTCCCGTCGCGGCCGCGAAGTCATCCAAGATGCCTTTGAGGCGCCGCACGGCGTCCAGCTCCGCCCAGATGATGATGATAGTATGATCCGCGTACTGGAGGACGAGCGGAGGGGCATCATCGATGAGAGGGTGACGCATTCCCCCACCCCCCTTGATGATTTGCTGGAGCACGCGTTGTTTCATTACTCAATGCCTGCGTCTACTTTAACCAGCTAGTTTCCAGATCTCGCACCCCAATTATTTTCCTCCTTACACGTGCAAAATGAACGCATCACAATTTTGTAACTACTATATCAAAAAAAATCACAATAGGTAAAGATCAGTTACCTGAACTTTGTCTTTGGGTCGGTCGATTTTGTTTTGACAAGGAAGAAGGAAGCGCCGAGGGAGAGGAAGAGGAAGTGGGAGACACCAAGGCCGCTGACGCCGGGGAAGAAGCAACCCCACCATCTATCGTTAGGGTGGTGGGTGCAGGTTCATCGAAAAAGCCACCCCACCATCTATAGTTAGGGTGGCGGGTGCAGGTTCGCTGGGGATTTTGGGTGGTCGCTAGGTTTAGACGGATGGACAGGGACAACGGAAAGACCAGCGGTGGGGGGAGGTTGAGGGGAGGGCTGTGCGGCGAGGCGATGGCGGGAGCACCGCTGGCCTCGGGCGGGGGAGGACGGCGGTTAGGTCAGTGGTACGTGGGGCGGTCGAGAGGAAGAAGATGAACAAGAGGTTGGGCTGGAGGTTGAAGAAGCTAATCCGGCCATCCATCTCACATCCAAAGGACTAAAACAATCTGACCCAAAATATTTTTAAGGCGACCGTCATCTTGCGAGACCCTAACTTTATACAGTACTACCAGCTTTGATCTTTCCTCCTCCAGCTCAGACCCCTCTCCTCCTCCAGCTCAGACCCTAACTGTTGGATAGCATGACACAAATGGTATGGTGGTTGACAATTTGACATCGCTATCCAACCATATCTTCAAGCTAAAGTGTTAGAGCATGCATGGATGCATCGTCCTCATAAAACCGCACAAGTATAGATGGTATGGTGGTTGAGAAATAACTTTGTCACATGTCTACGGATAAACTACCGATCGATCACGTCCGCCTTACGCTACACTGCGCTATAAATACGTGCGCTGCATGCTTTGCCTTCTCATCCAGTCATCCTCAGCTACTTCACCACACGGGAAACGAACTATAGCTAGCACCACACCAACCAGCCAGTTGTCAATTAAGCAGCCACTTGAGTCTTGACCATGGGGCCCAAGCAGCTCCCCGCCGTCCTCCTCGCCTCCTGCGCCACCCTCCTGGCCCTTGCCACGCCATTGCTTGCCGGCGACCCCGACACGCTCCAGGACTTCTGCGTCGCCGACTACAAATCCCTCAAAGGCCGTAAGTTGTGCTATCTCTTCCATCCATTCCCTCGTTCGCACAAGTATAGATCATGCCAACAAAGAGGTAATGCGTAAATGTATGCTTGCAGCATTGCGGTTGAACGGGTTCCCGTGCAAGAGGCCGGAGAACGTGACGGCGCGCGAGTTCTTCTCGGCCGCGCTGGCATTCCCGGGCAACACCTGCAACCCGGTCGGCTCCGCGGTGACGGCGGCGAACGTGGAGAAGCTCCCGGGGCTCAACACGCTGGGCGTCTCCATGTCCCGCGTGGACTACGCTCCGTGGGGAGTGAACCCGCCGCACACCCACCCACGTGCCACCGAGATCATCTACGTGCTAGAGGGCTCCCTCGACGTCGGCTTCGTCACCACCGCCGGCAAACTCTTCGCCCGCACCGTCTGCAAGGGTGAGCTTTTCGTCTTCCCCCGCGGCCTCGTCCACTACCAGAAGAACAACGGCGGCGCGCCGGCCGCCGCAATCTCGGCCTTCAACAGTCAGCTTCCCGGCACGCAGTCCCTCGGCCTAGCGTTGTTCGCAGCCTCACCGCCGGTGCCCACCGACGTGCTGGCCAGGGCGCTCCAGGTCGACGGCGGCCTGGTGGAGGCCATCAGGTCCAAATTCCTGCCAAAGTAACCAGCATGCATGCATGCATGCATGTTGGTTGGGTCAGCTGTACGTGCATACGTGCTGCTAATAATAAAGGACCACGTAAAAGTGCAGTTTTAATTCATTCGCTTGATAATATGTTTTGTAGTACTATATTCTGATTCTTTTGTGTCAGTTCAGTGAAGGGCCTCGTCGGTGATTGATTTGTACGTGTCCATTATTGGTGAATGAATCTACCTGATTGCTTGAATTGTCGTTATATTGTTAGCGATGAACAATATATAGTCTATCTCCCTCTCTTTGCAGATCCATACCCAAGACTTTAGGTAGACTTGTGTTAGCAGAAAATTATAGATTTTCGATTATGGAAATACTTTTCATGATTTTTGTAGTATTTTTATTATTTTGTGAGGGTTGTAGTATTTTGATTTTTCTACTCTAAATCATTTTATACTCTCATCGCTCATTTTTGTTAGTTGTACTCCCTCCGTTCCAAATTACTCGTCGTAGTTTTAGTTCAAAAAACCACGACGAGTAATTTGGAACGGAGGGAGTATTAGTTTTTTCAGAAGTTAAAATTGTACTCTCTCCGTTTCTTTTTAGTCTGCATATAAGATTTGATCAAAGTCAAACTTTGTAAAATTTGACCAATTTTATAGTAAAAAATATCAACATCTATAATACTAAAGTTATATGGTATAAAAATTAATTTCATGATGCATCTAACAATATTGATTTCATATTGTGAATCTTGAATTTTTTCTATAAACTTATCAAAACTAACAATATTGATTTCATATGGTTTACCGTTTTCCCCCTAAGCTCTCGCGGCTAGGGTTTTACTCCTCGGCGGCGATCCAGTCGCCCCGAGTCTTCCACTTCAGCCACCTACGTCCTCGTCGGGCTTCGTCGTGCGGTGCCCCGGTGACTACGATACAATGGCTTCTCCTGAGGACGCCATCTCATCCACGAGCGGCGGTGCCTCGGCGGCCGCTAAACCTAACCTGGAAGATTTTTTCGACCAGCTAGATCTCAATGAAGAAGAGTTCAATGATGTTGAAATCGACGAGGACGATCCAGTGATCAAGGAAAGTGTTCGGTGGCTTGCCCTCGCAAGGGTGCATACCGAGAAGAGCTTCTCTCCCTCCGCCTTCTACAAGGACATGAGAGCGGCTTGGAACCCTGCGCAACTGGTGAGATTCCGGCCCGTTGGCCCCAATAGATTTGTGGTTCAAGCATCCTGCTTGGGAGATTGGGAACGCATCATGACGCAAGGGCCATGGATCTTTCGTAACATGGCGGTGTTGTTATGCCCGTACGATGGATTCAGCAGGGCTGAGGATGTCGTGTTTGATTATATGCCAATCTGGCTACAGATACACAAATTGCCTGACCCTTTTTGCAAAGAAAACATTGTAGAGAAATTTCTCAAGGGGGCAGGGGAAATTCTGAAGATGCGTTTGAACGGGAATACCCGTGGAGATTACGTAAGGGTGAGGGTTAATCATGATATCCAAAAGCCCCTTACGAAGTTTGTGAGCATAGTCTGAGCCAAGGAGAGGCAGGTTTACTTGGTGCGCTACGAGAAATTGGCTCGTTTTTGCAAGGCTTGCGGTCTGATCGGCCATGATCATAAAGAGTGCGGTCTGGGAATTCATGATGTAAAGAAGCTCAAGTACGGGGATTGGCTGTATGCCGATGGTCCGAACAGGTCCAGGACGGATCTGAACAATGGCAATGCGTCTAATCCACGGCAACAGGGGAGGCCGAGTAGCCCGGTAGGCACCCCAAAACCTTCAACGAAAGAACAAGACCCAGATACTAGGGACACATCTACAAGTCCTTTAAAGGATCACGTGGCTAGAATGGAGGTGGACCGGGATGCTAGGAAGAAGCTGAACATGGAGGATGACACAGTTGAGGCAAACAGGTCTGCCGGTTCTCTGAAACAGGTCCTTGCTATCACTGATGGTAGTGGGACGGATTTGGGCACACCTGCTTCGCCGACGAGTAGCACGTCAAGCAGCAAACGTGCAAGACTCGCCAAGGAGAATGACACCAACGAGATATCGGCGGCCTCCCTCGAGGAGGACCGCTGAACGCAATGAATATCCTATCGTGGAACTGCCGGGGGGGGGGACCGCTGGACAGTTCGTGAGGTGTTGGCCCTCTCAAAAGCCAATAACCCCAAACTAGTCTTACTTTGCGAGACTAGACAGGAGTCGTCAAGGATTGAGAAGTTACGTTGGAGGCTAGGCCTCAAGGGTTTCCATGGTGTCAGTAGTGATGGAAAAAGTGGTGGCTTGGCTCTCTTTTGGGATGAGTCGCTTGTTGTAACAATTCTGGATTCATGCAGTAGATACATTGATGTGAGCATTACAGAGGGGGGTACCGGTTTTCCTTGGAGAGGCACCTTTGTCTATGGCAAACCGAGAGTGGAGAATAGATATCGTATGTGGGATCATCTCTGTAGGCTTCGGGCTACTTCTACGGGACTGTGGTTGGTTTGTGGTGACTACAATGTAGCCCTGTGGCAACATGAGCATCTGTCCCGGTCCATGCGCTTTGAATCCCAAATGGCGTCGTTCAGGGATTGTCTTCAGGTGTGTGAACTGGAGGATCTCGGTTTTTGCGGCATCCCCTTTCATACAACAATGGCCAGGCACTAGACCGAAACGTCCAAGTTCGTTTGGATCGGGCGTGTGCGGACGAAGCTTGGCGTGACTTGTTTCCGGCTGCGAGGGTGCTCCACCTCGCAACGTTGTGCTCGGTTCACAGCCCCCTCTTGATTCAACTGGAAGGGGTGCAGGATAAATGACATAGGGCGTCGATGATGCATTATGAAATAATGTGGGAACGTGATCCCACTTTGCCGGACACGATTGTTGGGAGTTGGAATAAGCATCGTCCACTCGACAATCTTGGCTCGGTAGCAAAATCGTTGAAGGAGATGATGAAGGATCTGAAACAGTGGAGTAAAACACATTTTGGCAATGTCCTAAAAGATATCGAGTCTCTTCGATCACAGCTGGCTGAATTTCAGTTGTCTGGGGCTGACCGTGCTCTTATTAGATCTAAAATGAACCAGCTGGACGAGTTACTCTATAGGAAGGAGATGATGTGGCTCCAACGATCACGTATAACCTGGTTGAAGGAGGGCGAGCGCAACACAAAATACTTGCATCGCCGGGCAGTATGGCAAGCTCGACGAAACCTTATTCAGCGGCTACAAAAAAATGATGGATCTTGGTGCAGCGTCCCAACGGACATGGAGCGGATGGCGCTCTCATATTTCAAGGAGATTTTTACAAAGGATCCCACCCTATCACCAGGGGAGGTGCTTGAGTGTATAGTCCCCGAGGTGACGAACGAGATGAATGAGTCTCTTTGTAAACCCTACTATGATATGGAAATTTCAGATGCCTTCTTTCAAATTGGCCCTTTAAAGGCCCCGGGATGTGATGGTCTCCCGGGAAGATTTTACCAGCGGAATTGGGCGACGTTGAAGAATGATATTGTGGCTGCGGTACAGGACTTCTTTATTACAGGCATTATGCCCGATGGAGTTAATGACACGGCGATCATTCTAATTCCGAAGATTCCCCATCCAAAGGAACTAAAAGACTTCAGACCGATTAGCCTATGTAACGTGGTGTATAAAGTTGTTTCTAAATTCATGGTGAACAGATTACGACCTCTCCTAGCCGATCTTATCTCGGAAAATCAAAGCGCTTTTATTCCAGGGAGGCTCATATCTGATAATTCCATCATTGCCTTCGAGTGTATCCATCATATCCAGGAAGCAAACAATAATTCGCCCGCCTTATGTGCCTATAAGCTTGATCTATCCAAGGCCTATGATCAGGTGGATTGGGAGTTCTTGGAGAAGGCGCTAGCTAAATGGGGCTTTTCTCAGACCTGGATTTCACGCGTAATGGCATGTGTATCTTCGGTGAAGTACTCGGTAAATTTTAATGGCAAGTTATTGGAGGCGTTCACCCCCTCTGAGGGGCTCCATCAAGGTGATCCGCTATCCCCCTTTCTCTTACTTTTTGTAGCTGATGCCCTTTCTGCTCTCATACAAAAGGCTACGAGGGAGGATGATCTTCAGGGGGTCAAAATCAGTAGAAGTGCACCAGACATTTCTCATATTCTGTTTGCGGACGACTCTCTCCTGTTTCTCCAAGCGACAGAGCAGCAGACAACTTTGGTAAAAGGTTTGTTGAACACGTATGCATCGACGACGTGACAACTTATTAATCCGTCGAAGTGTTTCATCCTCTTCTCGAATCACTGCCAGCCTAATGTGATACAGGAGGTAAAGACTGTATTGGAGATTACTCAGGAGGTTTTTGAACCAAAATACTTGGGCTTGCCGGTCCTGAAGGAAGAATGCATAAGGGTAGTTTTGAACTACTCAAGATCACTTGCGAAAGAGGCTTGTTGATTGGAGTGAGCAATATATGTCCTCGGGCAATAAGGAGATTCTAATCAAGGCCATTGCCCAGGCCATTCCTACGTATGTGATGAGCATTTTCAAGCTCCCAGCGTCGGTATGTGACGAGCTCACACGTATGATTCGCCAATACTGGTGGGGCGTTGAGAAGGGAAAGAGGAAGATGGCATGGATGAGCTGGGACAAGTTGAGGCTTCCCAAGTCCATGGAGGGTATGGGCTTCCGTGACATGATATCCTTTAATCAAGCTCTATTAGCTAAACAAGCGTGGAGGCTTCTGGACTCCCTCGATAGCATGTGCTCAAGATTGCTAAAGGCTAAGTATTACCCACATGGCCAGTTATTGGACACTGTTTTCCCTAACAGTGGTTCGGAGGTGTGGAAGGGAATTTTCACGGTCTTGAACTGGTTAAGAAAGGGGTAATTTGGCGTGTGGGAAATGACACTTCAATACGTACATGGAGGGATCCGTGGATCCCGAGACCTGACTCCTTCCGGCCAATTACTCCTAAAAGGAACTGCAGACTAAATCGAGTGTCGGACTTCTTGGATGAAAATGGTGCTTGGAGAG